TTTGTACCTTAACCGAATAAAATCGAATTACCTTAATTTTTTTTTTCTAATGTAATTAACGAAAACTTGTGAAAATATTTCATTCAAATTAAACCATTCTGAGAAAACTGTCCTGTGAAAAGTATAGCATTTAATTCCCTTCAGAATGAAATGTTGTTTAAAAATATAAAAATATGTTGTTTTCACATACTTAAAACTCTGAAGTGTTGTAGAAAAAGAAAATATACATTTATATGTATATTTACGACGTAATTACAAAACATTTACATCCGAACGCGTCAAATCCCATAGAACTCAATGGTAAATGACCCAATGTTTTGGTCACCACGTAGGGATCGCCACGGGAGAAACCTGTTTAGGGCGACTCCATCCATGGAGGTAGGAAAGGTACTTCCTACCTCCATGGTTCCTGTAGTCTGAAATTGTCTCAAGTCGTGAAACGATGCTGTGATCAATTCCGAACTCTGCAGCCACACTTGTCACACTGCGGCCTTCTTCCAACTTCCCAATGATTCGACCTCGGGTAAAAGCATCCAGATGTCGTCTAACAGATTGATTACTCGCCATTTCTCGCTGAGGCAGCAACTCGGTGTGATTTTAACTGCTATACGGCGTGCAATCTCTTTGCCAGAAATACTGATCTTACACCCACAACATGCTTTATACTACTCAGACACTCCCCCATTACGTCTACCTGCATATCTGCGCATGTGCTACCGTACATCACCTTACTTAATCTCCTGATTGGTCTTTCTGTCCGCTCTGCCTCTTCGTTCAGCTGATATGCTAATTTTTCGGCTTCGTCCTTAATTTTTACACACCAGTGTAGGTTTATTTCCGCTCCATAATTCGTAGGGAGTCTTATCACTAGCTCTGTTTGGAAGGCTATTCTGGATGTAATTTGCTGTGTTGACAGCTTCACCCCAGAATTTGTCTGAAAATAGGCTTTGGGACAGCAGGCACCTGGTCATCTCAGCAAGACTTCCGTTTTTTTCTTTCGCTCACACCGTTCTGAGGAGGCGAAAAGAGAACAGTTAGTTGATACTTGATGCCGTTATCTGATAGAAATTCCTCCATTTCCTTGCTGGTATAGTCACCACCGTTATCGGTTCGAAGAGTCTGTATCGTTATTCCAAATTTATTTCTTGTTATACCAACAAAGTCATTTGATTAAGAACTTCGTTCTTTTTCGCGAGTAAATAGATGAGTGTATCTAGTAAAGTCATCAATAAAGGTTACGAAATAGTTTTCCACCAATACTTCGAGTAGGCATAGGCCAGCAAATGTCACTATGTATAAGTTCTAGTGGTTTTCTTGTTCGAACGCTAGCAGCTTTCGGATAAGGACTTTGCTACATTTTATTCTTTATGCATTCTGAACAGCTTTCATTATGACTGCAATTATGTAACCTTATTTCTTCTGCAAGATTTTCTCTTACTAATTGTCTGATTGCATCATAACTTCGATGACCTAACCTAGAATGCCATATTTGTATACAGCTTTTATTTTTACATTCAACTGCAAAATTGGCGCTTTCTGAATTTTTATTAAAACAATTTTATATAAACTATTATCAGAACACGCGCGCATCATTATTTGGCTATCCTTCTTTAAGTAACACTTTTCTTTTTCAAAAATAACGGAATATCCCTTACTAGCAATTTGCTTAACAGAAATTAAGTTGCTCTTCAAATCAGGAACGTAATAAACATCAGTCAACCGAATTTTCTGTAATTGTAAATCAAAGTCAACAAATCATCTGCCCTGCGAATATAAAATTTTTTTCATCCGCTAAAATGATTTTTGCTTGAGTATCCTCATATATCAGTTCTGTAAACAAACTTATCTACTATTAGATGACTGCTCGTACCGGAATCGTAAAAAATCTATATTTTGTTCTGAGCAATATCGTGGAGTAATTATTAAACCCTTTTCATAGTGTTTTTGACAGACGACTATTGACACCTGGTTTACAGCTTTCTTTAACGGAAGTGTCTGCGCTCATACAATGCCGATTCGGTTTTCCGACATGTTTGGTCACGCGATTTTCGGATTTTGAGTTGTCAGGACAAGAAATGTTATTTTTGTTTTTCAATTTATAACAACACTTACGAGTATGACCACTGCGTTTACGAAAAAGTTCAAAATTTCTTTTGTTATCATAATTTCTTGCATTTATTGCAGATTTAAACGCGGTTGAAGAATTCGAACTTCTATCTGCTTGTTGTTCTAATCTTCTGTTGTACTCATCAGTGAGTTTCGTTTTTACAAGATCTGTAGTTATAAGAATTTCTTCTCTAGCTTCAATGGCGCTTATAAGATTATTGTACGATTCGGGAATTGAAACTAACAAAAGTGCGGGTACATGTTGACCGGGAATGTTCTCACCGATAGCTTTCAGTCTTTCGACTAAGTAAATCAAATGAGTGATGTGTTCGATCATATCACCATGTTCTGCCATTTTTATTGAATATAATTTTCTCAGAAGATGTAGTTTGCTACTCAAATTTGAGCGCTCATGAACTGACTTTAATTTCTGCCATGTACGGCGGTAGTCGTTTCATCTCTAACATGAATAATCTGAGTCATTAATGCATAGATCTATTATAGCTCGTGCTTGTTTATCCCTCTTTAAAAATTCATCAGGTTTAGATGGTGGAGGAGAATAAAGAATCATGCATTAAAAGCATCTGAATCACGCATTGAAAGCATCTGAATCTTGAATTTCCAATTAGCGTAATTTTCGGAATTCAGTTTAGTTATTTGCATACAATCTTTAAGACTATCCTGTGCCATTATTAATTCTTACTTAACAGTTTCAGAAAGTTTATATGCACAATTTAAAGTTTATTTTTAGGATTTACAACGATATCAGTCTCAATAATCAATGAAGAATAAAGATGGCAAAATCAGCTTACCTTTTGTGCACTCAGTAGCAGCAGTTGAGTCTCCGAAACTATTGTTGATGATATGATGGATTTATCCATAAATAATACGATGCAGATTTAAACACTAATAACATTTATTCTACTTCAACTAAACTAATATAAGCGATAGATACATCGATGTTAATACAAGTACATACAGAAGCTTAATAAGAACTAAAGAAGAGGATGGGATATATTAATATCACGTGATTAACATAGTTGACGTGTTTGACGCCCGTGTCTTGGCATTTTTAGGGTTGCCAGAAGTGAGTTAGAAAACATTTTATTTATTCTCAAATTAATTTACAACAGTTTTTACCCTTTCTTCCAAATCGTACAGAGACTTCAGTTTAATCTCATCACATATGGCCATTTTACGGTGTACAGCACAAAATAAGCAAGGTACTTCCTAACTGACATCCGACAGAGAAATAAGCCCTTACAAATATTTTCCCATCGCTCAAATTCACCGCAATCAATCGCGTCATAATGGTTTCCATAGCATTCAACTACTCAGGTTACCATAAATGAAACAACTTAGTGATAATTCAAGGGGCACCCTAAAATATAGACTAAGCAGACTTTAGTTTGATTTGGATTTTTAATACTATTATCGATTTTGAGAGATCAGATGCTGCACCTGTTTAGGAGCAAAAACATTTCCGTAGAATTCCCCACCATTGAAAACAAATCTCCGAAGTCATCTACGCCAAGTTATTTATTTTTTACACCAATTTTACATTGGCAGATTCTCTTACAGTGATGAAAGTCCTCCGAGCATTAATAGTATTCTAGAAATGTTATGAACAGTTCATAAATGAACGTCTGGATTTTCTAAATTAAAAGCGTTGAAACTACCTATCATTTAAAACTGGCTACTGTATCAAGTCTACTGTACCTTAAAATTTAAGTTTAAGGATCTTTGTCCCCATTAAGTAAGACTTGATTTATTACATTGGTTTCCGAAAAAATGCCTTTATTTTGGCTAATATGCAGAGACTGGGTTGTTTTTATAGATTAAATACCTTTTCTCTCCGTTGCCTATGTGAAGTTGTTTCATACCTTTACATTAACAAGGAACTTTATGAACTCGCCTAAGTTTTAGGAGATAATGTTTCTATTTTCGGACAAGTTATATTAATAGTAAATTGAATGTCATTGCTATTTTGAAGGGTAATTTTTCTTAATGTTTTCAAAATACCCCTGCACCAACATAATTACATTAAGCAGTGTCTCCTGTATATAAAATTCGTAACAAATCTTTTCAGTTTACCATAGAGTTCCTGCTTAAGCTACAAACAGCATTAACTATGTGTGATTATATTTTAAATTAATATATAATTAGGCAAATCTCATGGCATTCCACGTTATCTAATAATTTACATTGAACAGTTCGCTCTCTTGAACTTACTAATTTGCCCATTTCTGAATGCTTCACAAGAATCCTGAAATTAAAACTGAGCATCCATATTGTTATCAATTGTAATTTTTAGCACAATGTAATATGAAAATCGAGAGATGATGCTTTGCCGGAAAAGTAACTTGAATAAAGGGTTACCTTGTTAAGTTGGTGACGGTTTTGTAGAATTTTAGTCTCCAAACTTGGCGACCATTTGACTAAATTTTGGTCCAGTCCCTCCATCACCGTAATAAGTACTGTTTAGCTGTAATAGATTTCATATGTAGCTGTAACAGTATCCAGCATTCGTATGCCTTTCAATAATTTAGAGAAGTACTAGAGACCTTTCTTCAGCTGGGGGAAAATTATACAAGACCGGAGACATTATCAGAGCTCGGTTTTCAGTTCACAGTATTGAGACCTCCGAAAGAGCATAGCTCTTTGGATAATCTCTGCATTGCTTTGTGTTTAACGTTGCTTATAACTTGAAGTGTAACTACCGACTGTACTGTGATAGTGTGAAAAGCTGTACGACATTTTTTGTGGCAGTTTCCAGAACTGTGAAGCGTTTCTTGTGCTAAAATTTTATCAAGCTGCCACTGGCTCAGTGTGCTTTTAGTCTATTAAGAACACGTACGCATGCAACACTATTAATGACCTGTTTTCTTTTGTAGAGGTTCTTCCGCAAGCGATTTTGAATTCCAGATAAACATTGCCACTGCGGCTTTCTTCATGAAGTAAGTAAATTTATAAACTGTTCTAAAAATACATTTTTCTTAGCGAGTATAAATAAGCTTAATGGTAACTAACCGCCGAAACTGAGTGCCCACCTAGTTAAATGGGTCAGATAATTAACCAGTGGTAGTTCGCCTTGGCTTCAAACGCCAGGTAACTGGCTGTATGAAAAGGTAGTTTAGGGTTTTACTTCCTTTTGCTTTAAATACTATTCTGTCCCTTGGGTACTTTATGAAGGTTCTCTTGACGAAGACGGCTATCGCATGTTTAGTGCAATTGATAAAAACGGTGATAGTTTCACAAATCCATGCAAGCTTTTACTGTCTCAATTCATTTTTGCAAGCCAGTTATTTAAGTTGAAATTGGTCTCTCAATTGGGTATAAATTAAATTTACTGCTGGGTCATTAGCCATTCAAATAAGTTGGAAATTGAAAGCGTTTTTTGATCACTTACTTGCACAGAACTAATAGACTTTGAGATGGCTCTAATCCCAGTGCTTAAATTGCACCGGAGCCCAGATATCCGGCACTTCTCAATTTTTATGATAAATTACAATTCTAGTCGGAGCGCAAAGGAGCCCTAAATAAGATGAGCTCCGGTATTTCTTTTTATAAAACTGAGCCACAGTTTAAAGGAAAAAAAATTTAGAATTCCTAACGTTTTAGTTTAACAATAAGCAGACTTTGCAATATTCTATTTCCTCTAGAAAGTACGAACTCATGAGAACATGAGACGGTTAAGTAAAGTACCTTCACTCACATGCGGAAATCTTTCCCTTTAAGAAGAGCAATAAGTTTTGGGGAGTTTGTTTTAGGAACGCGTAAATTTCTCGCCGTGCCATCGTATCTAGTGTATTGTTATAGATGTTAGTTATACTCGCAGGAAAGGAAAATTTGTGTTCTTAAATGTGCGTTAAGTGACAGCGAGTACAATAAGAGTGAAATACTCAGATAAACAGCTCAAGCACAGCCTATACATCGTCTTCCCACAGTATCCACTAATGTGGGGGAAAGCGTGAACAGCAACTTTACATTCATCCTTTGGAATCGCATTCAAGACTCATTTTACCCCTGACACGCATCTGCTTGATGGCTATAATTATATCAGCAGAGAGCAGAGGTCAAAGACAACGTTCTCTCTCACCAAGGTTCCCTTCATTTTTGTTTCCAACCACTCATACCCTCATTCTGTTTCGCCCTGGAATTTTCATCAGCTATACTTTAAGGATATTTAATTTTTGTGATGATAAAAGAACTTTTTCACCCCCATTTCAATTTATCTCTTTACATTTTATTTAATTTTAATTACTTAATTACTTCAATCTTTAATTATTTCAATAATAGTTAATTATCTAATAATTATCAATTAAGTTACAATTAATTATTTATATAATAATTGTTGATTAAATAACAATTTATAAACATTAAATAATTATCAAATTAATAGCTAACTGTTTAATTTTAAAATTATTAATGAGTTTAAGTCATTTTATTTACTTATTCTTGTTCCTCTTTGCTGACGGTCTTCCATAGGGCTCCAGTGCTTCTAATTTTAGAAATTAAGCCCTGACTAATCCTAGTTAACAAAGTAGTCCAGTAACGAACCTTTAACTATTTATTTCAACAATTTATGTCTATGCAAGAATTCCGAATCTTAAGTGTACTATTATGTGCTAAAATTCAATAAATACATATGTTCTAGATAGCTTAGTTTGCATTCTACTTTGAGAACACAATGCAGAAATTTTAATCTACGTGTCAAGGACAACAAGGGAAAATTTCAAAATCTGCGACTGAAATGCCAATGAATATTTTGTATTTTTCCTCTTTGCACATTTTTAAATCCTGTAAGACTTTTCAGAATGAAATAAGTGCTGCTCGTAAATTGTGGCAAATTCAGTTTAATTTCAAAACTTTTCGTGGTTTGTTCACCAATTGTCTAGCTCTTAAAACGAATTTTCAGTTTATTTTAAAGTAAGCAGTTATACCCATGAAATATTATCCGGTCAATTCCCTGTTTCAAACTAAGCATCACTTCATGCTGTCGTTTTATTTTCTAAATTTTTCGATTATACAACGCAAGCCGCATCAGGGGCTCTGAATGCTGCATGCAGGCTGTGGTATTCATAGGCTTCTTTTTTTGACAATCAAATATTTAAGATTTTTTGTGTAAATATTGAATGGCTTATGTGGAGCCATGGTGCAGTGTCTCGCATTGTCATTAACTGATATTCTGTATTTAAGAGTTTTCGTTCTTATGAACTAGATGCGTCGATTTTTTTCTTTTAACTGAACACTATTACATGAATCACTGCTGTAGCTGTATTTTAAAGTACATGGAGTACCAGTAATGCTCTAAAATGACTAGAAAATCAAACGTAATGAGTTCCATACATTTTTTAGCAAAGTTCAAGATTTATTAGCAGATTTATAGATTTTTAGCCGAGTTCTAGAAACGAGACTGTCTTAACGTTCTATACGAGAAATTCAGAGTGAATCTATTAGAAATTCACAGTGAATGATCTTCCGCGAACGGGCTGGTTGCATGGGCGTTTTCGTGGTTTTCCCATGTGCAACGTGTATACGAGCTAGTTTCCCTTAGAAAGTCCTCCACGAAGGCATCCCTCCCCTTAGGCAAATAGCCCTCGAGGCTTTGCCACAATCACGCACACATACGCAGTGAGTGGTCTAAAGAAATAAAACTTGTCCGATTCTTATTATGAATTTCACAAATATAACATGAAAGTTTAACTTCAAATTTCTTTAACCTTTCTCAGATATTGGCTTCTCTCGGGCGACGGCGGGCGTCTAATTGTTAACTCTTCTGTCAATCCAGTCTATCGCAGCTCCTATCTGCTGCCTTAACTATCGATAGTTTTGTGGGGTTAGAAAGATGCTCGCATAGCATCCAAGGGAAAATATAGTTAACACATTATTTGAATTAGCTCTGGCAATCCGAAATTTTGAAAGGCTCATTGAGGTGATCGTGTACGTGTCTGCTAACGTGGCATGGCAATTGTGTTGCTATTAAATGCTGGGTGTCTTCTCTTGCATTTAGGTAACAGCCACTTACACAGCGTGTTTGAGGTAAGTGAATGTTGTAACCTACTTGAATTTGCTAGCTGAGGTGTGAATGAGAAATGAACGGCGATATAGAAGCATAAAGATTGATTATGGAGTAAACATTCATTTTAAGAAAAACTGTTTGTTTTCATTTAGGTATTCCGTACTACAAAAGATTTTCCAGCTCTCAAGTCCGCTAAACACTGGTATTTAGACAGAGATCCGAAGTGCAAGTTTTAGAAATGGGAATGTAAAGCGAGGTATAAAATCCGAATACAACTACCGTATATTGCGACGTATAACGCTCCCTTTTAATGCAAAAATAAGATCAAAATTTACGGGTGTACGCTATACCCCCGATATAAAAGGGAAAGACTATACAGAAATTAGACTTCTGCTTGTACCTAAATGCTGTTTATTTGAAATAAAGGGTGTACCCTACCAAACTTTGCTTTCATAAATTCAAAAACATCTGACTTAATTCCCCGAATCAATTCGGGTGCATTCTTACCCTCAAATTGTGCCACCCTTTCTCGAAACCATAGAATAAATCTTGTGCACCCCTGCATTGAATACAACACACACTTTGTAGAAGTATTTACTCGAGCCTTTACCCGCATATTGTGCTGCACCTTATCGCTTGTCATTTCAGGATACCATTGGTCGAAAGTCTAAAATCATTTTAATGAATAGTTTCAGAAGTATAGAGCATCGCACATGTATCGTTCAGGTTTCTCCTTAAATAAAAGGGTGCGCGTTATACGGCGAATACAAATGAAAATTAAAGAAAGTAGTTTGAAATTGTACGTTCGCGTTATACTCCTGAATATACGTCACTTGGATGTGGCTTCAAATATCGGGAATGGTTGGTTCCATGGGATTTTCTTGGTTTTCCTTGTATAACGTGAATACGAGCCAGTTACCCTTAGTCTTTCGAAAAGGAGTTCCTTTTCTGTAATCTAACAATTCCAAGCCCTTTTTCTAAAATCTCACTACCTGTTTGCTTTGCCACAAAGTGAAACCTGGCTTAGTCGGTGAATATATAAATCTGTCCACTTAAATTTTCCACCTTCAGCTGAGTTAACACGTTGAGCACCACGTCAGCCACCGGTGGCTGACACTATACTTTCCTTTTAGGCCACGTCGACCGCCGCTGGCTGACAGCGTATAACATGATATGCAACTATAAAATTTACTCTATTTTATGGAATTACGGAAAATTTATTTAAAGTTTACTTAATTTTGATTCATTACAGGACTAATGGATTTCATTGAAACACTATAAACATAAAAACGGTTCTCCATTACAGCTCTTAGTCTTTCTTTCTGCCCATTACTCTACCAGGTTCTGTTGCATTATCATAACATAATTTACAATATTTCCGTACTTCAGAGGCTTTTCCCGGTTTTTTTTTTTTTTTTTTTAGTTTGTTGTCGTTTTTTACATATTCTTGCATTTTCTGTTCGATGGAATGTCTTTTTCACATCTTGTAAGGGCTAGCGCTAATTCTTTCCGGAATTCAGTAATGCTAATTTTCTGCTTCGTAATATCTTTGTATAGAATGTAACTATTTACTAAACGGACTTGACGCGTAACATGCTGAATGAATAAATGCCTATAGGAATTCCGTCCCGAACGTAAACTATTTTCTGCTGCGATAAGAATCACTGGCCCTACAATACCAGCGCTCTTAAGCGGCGCACTTGGCCTGAACGAGATTGCCTAAGAAATACTTGTAGCGCTCAACGTGTTAACGATGTTTTAAATCTCTTCGGTTTGTTTGCTGGTAGATTTTGGTGCCTGTACTAAATGAAATCTGCAAGGCTTGCATTGCAGATTGTGTAAAATAAACCCCTAAGAAGTTGGTTTGGTAGAACTGTGTTTGTCCGTGCTGTTGTGTTTTGACAGTCAACCGCCCTGTGCCTTTTCCTTTGGATAAGCAGTTCTACTCCGAATTAATCTTGATATGGTAAGACGTTACTGTAGCATATTTTAAGCAGAAATGTTTCTTAATAAATTTAGATATTCTGACAGTATTTAAAAGCGTGAATTCATTCTGCATTTCTCAGGCTTCTCAGCGGCTATACGGACAAGAGCGCTAATCACTGGTAGACCATCTGAATTTGATTTTTTGCAAGCCTTTTCACATTCACAAATGTCATCTTAGTTAATAATGCCAGTGTGACATTTCCTTCAAAATTATTTCATCTTCGCTTTTTGAATTTAATTGCTAGTCCTTCATAGATGTAGAGAAGTTCATTTTGGATCAGGTTCGCTTATGGATTCTATAAAAAATTCTCATTTGCAGAATTCTTTCGCTGTTGAAGAGGTTTTTCGTTTCTTTTCTGATTGTCTTCGAAATGGTCGAAAATCATTAAGGCTGCCTTTTTACCTGATTTTTAATTTTCAATTAAACCGTAATACAGTTTAAACGAATGAATCTCTGCCAGCAACTTAAATGAGAGTACTTCTTTCTTAGAGTCAAGAAATTCTCTATTGACATGAGTGTAGACGTACATCTCTTAAATCATCTGGAAGTGACTCACATTTGTGACTTGAGAGGAAGAGACCCAAGCAGAGATTATCCTAAATTGTAAGTTATTCCGAGATTTCTTTCTGAACGAGTAAAGAATCTTAAATAGTGTTCTAACTCCAATTTGTTTTACAGCGCAGAAACTTGTGAATTATACAAGACGTATTACACCGCGTTCAAAACTGCTCACTTGCCATACCCAAGTAAGTTGTAGATATAGCTATATAACTATTAACTTTGAAGATTAAACGTTACTTGTGTTTTTCCGTCGATCTCGAAAACTGCCTGAGATCCTGCCAAACTTGTGCCAACTTGTGCCGGCGTATGTTGAATGAAACAGATTTTATTTAAGTAATTAAACTACGTTTCGGATATAGTATATAAAAACTTGAACGGGAAGAAGATATCACAAATTTTTTAAACTAGCTCGTATAATTCCGAAGGCCAAATCCTTAATTCCCATTAAAATAGCAAAACCATTGTCACTTTCCTTGTCAGCTCGGCGCCACGTAAATTCCGTTAATCGCGAATCTAGTATGTTATTACTGTGCAGTTTTGCCGAAATCTTTTTGATGTTTTGAGGGTAATTAAGTATTAACTCAACTACTTTCCTTTCTCAAAAGTTTCAGAAACCGCCAAAATCTGGTTAACCGTATTCGTAAAAGTTAAGTATGTCGCCATTTTCATGTGTGTTCTGTTTTACAGTATTTAAAATTCCAGCGGTTTTAGTAATAAATCGTGATATTTTTCAAGTCTTAAACTCGATCAGGTAGGATTTATCAATACTGCAAGAAACTTGCAATGAAACGTCTGCAAGAATAGTCTGGTGGAGCAAAATCGCTAAATGGCATAACTGCTTTGAATCAATCCTCAAAGCGATTTTCCACCAGAGCAAAAACAAATTTTTAGTAATTTCATTATTTGCCGAGCGTTTATTTGTAAATACTAGGCAGAAAAATACTGAAGTACCGATTAGACCTTCTCAACAAAGCTGAATATTTATCCCTAAGGTGGGAATATGTTCAAGAATATCTCTTTAATAAATGGCCACTTTATAATTTGTCTTAACGGAAATGATTCAGAAATGTAATAGAGAATATGTAATTTATAAACTTCTTAACCTTTAAAATGTACTTCAAAAATTCCGTCCTTTAGTTTGCTTCAATTATTAAAATATTTTAAATAAAGTGCCTTTACCATCGATGTAAAACTATAATATGCATTGCTCGCAGCATTTCGAATAAACAAATCTCTAATTTGCATTCAAATAACAAAAATACTATTAAAATGACCTGCCTTTAAAACGATAGAATTATCTTTTCTTAATTTTAATTCTGACACCCCAAAATCGGCTGATTAACATAAAACTAAAAGTAATTACTATTTTTACAGGGAAAGCGTAGTTGGTCATTTCAGTCGCTTAACAGGTTCACGCCGGCGCGTACCACTGGTAGCCCGCACTATATTGTCTTATCGGGCGGCGCGTGCCACTGATGGCACGCATTTGATTGTGTTATTAGACGCTGAAAATTAAAATGAAAAAATTAACGTTTATTATAAAAACAACTTTTTAATAACAATAACTATTGGCAAACTTGCAACTCGTATATACAGGTCTGAGCAGGTAATAATCGCGCGCTGCCAGATGAAACGCGGCAAAATTCGAGCGCCGTCTCACGGCGAAGAACATCAAAATTGGCCCCGGCGTGAAACGTGTCAAGTTTTTATACTATTGGTCAATTTCTTGCACTTTTGACGGAAAATCGCTTACAAGCAACAAAATCAAGTTTTGAGAAATCTTGAAGATAAAAATTTCCAAAATGCATTCATTCTTAATAACGATAGCTTACAAAATAAAGTAATTATGCATTCAAAATTATTGCAAATGTAATGCCAATATTTACCGAAGCAATCAAAAGTGCGGTTTGGAAATCTGGCGGTAAAGTCGCTGAAAGCTTCTAGTTTGGTTTAGGTTCAGATATACCAGCGAACGGGCTGGCTGCAAGGGCGTTTACGTGGTTATTTGCATGTGATACGCCAGTATGAATTAGTTTCCCTTTCCTTCACAAAGGTATCCCTCCCTTTAGGTAGGTAGCCATGGAATACTATGCTCTAATCAAATAAAGTCTAAAAGCTTTCAGATTTTACATTATGCCCGAAGGGAAGCTTTTAGCGATTTGTGCGTTACCTTTATTTAATAAATATCATGTTCTTCGTCCTTAAACCATAAAATTCAGTTAAACAGCAATATCGCAAAATAATTTAAAATGAGCATATCTTTAGAATTTCAGATAGTCTAGCGCGCTGGAGATAAAAATGTTTTTTCCGTACGGTGTTGCTATTGCTCGCTTTGAAATCGTTGAGTTTGTTAATCGAAAATTAGTTTGTTTTATTATCTATTTCATATTTTGTAAAACTAGTTCCAAATTTAGTCTTCTAGATGCCCGAATTCGGATGGAAACTTAAATTTGATGGCTCTAGGTAGCGTTTTATCATAATGCAAGAAACATGCATACATTTATGCAGATTCTTCATTATCTAATTTAACTATAATGCAAGGCTATAACATTTGTTGGCAACAATTTGAAAAGTGATACGTCGGTTATAGAGATTCAACCCAAAATGCCAAAACTAAATTAATAGTCCTTTTGGGGAAATTCCCCTTTGGAGTAAAAATCAAAAATCATCCCTCATGGGTCTTGTCGTTACAGCAAAGAACTTTCACTTTTTACTGATAATGTATTAAAATATGCTCTGAAGTTAATAAAGCTAAGACACTAGTCCTAACTATAAAAAAAACCTTCCTTTAATTTAGCTGTTTAGTGAATGCTTGAGTATTGTATTGTCTCAGTTAGGAGTTTGTCAAGACTATGCAAAGTTGCAAGAAATTAATATAAAAATTGGTGCGGAAGCTTTGATATTAGCAAAGCCCAACGATACCTGTGCGACATGGGTCACTTCAAATAATGCTGAGCCGATAGCCTTCTCGTAGTTTGTCGGTAGAGGAAGGGGAATAGGAGACCCTCGGACCATTCCCTTTAGTTTACTTCAGAATTGGGACAGAGATGCACAGTTCGAGCGGTGGTAATATACCTGTACGACCAATGGTGAAATTCTGAAGTTTCAACGTGAATTCCGGTCAATGCGCATGGAGAATTCAGTTTAAGTGGCATACAAATGCAGGATGATTTTGACACTGCATTTCAAACAGTATTATACATAGAATAGCGAATGATGCATTAAAATAAACGTTAAATATTGAAGTCCGTATTTCAGTTTTAAAATTGGCGTGACTGTCTCAGCGGTAAACTCTCTCGTCGATCGATTGAGTGATGCGCTGAATATGGTTGAGTGCTGTTCATCTGGCGTCTACAATCTCTAGGTTTCATGGCGTGTGATTTTTAATTTGGGGTTTAGATATCTACTGGCGAATACTTTCGTTGAGCTTAGTCGCAAAGTAGTGATATGAATAAAACTTGAGGTACTTGACGTTTATTTTCATGTAGCATTCATTGTTCCAGGCATAATGTTTTAAAACTCCATAAATCATTTCAAGTCTCTCTGTACTAAGTATACAATACTTGAAATGGTTTCCCCCAATAAAACCACTAAGAACTCTGTTGGATGCTTTTTAAAAGTTAATATAAATTGAGATACAAATAAATCCATGGTTATCTCCCTTTTGTCGCCCGTAAATCTATCCATTCATTCTTGGTCTTAATCTCCGAATCATTCCAAATCGCGAATGTTAAATGAAATGATTTGAAATAGACGTTGTCTCATCACAATCCTACAATACGACATGGTAAATATGACACTTGAATAATTGTAACGACTTAATCCTTCGCGAAGCTCGTTATGTAGCCAATTTCACGGCAGTGTAATTTTGCATAACCCAAGTAGGTAATTTGAAATTCCAGTTTCAGTCTATTTGTAATGTATCTAACGGTCTTAAATCCAATAATCGTGTTGAAGTTCTGAATAATTTCAGTGTTTTAACATGCTTTTACTAACGTGTATGTTGCGTACTTTCGTTCATGATCATCCCTTTCTATTCCTGCAGGCGTCGACTTTTTTGAAACATACTACAGGATACGAGAACCTGAAGAATTACGCCTTAATTGGAAGAAAGTAGGTTTGTTTTTTCTCAAGTTGTAAAATAACTAATCAGAAACAAAACGAAGTGAGATGCTTTTTTAAATTTAGGTAAAAATTGGTGCTGAACATTAGAGCTGCATTTGTGCTTTATTGTGAAGACTACTTTTATGAAGAGTTTTTAATTACCTTCGCTGTTTCGATGTATCTGAACATTGAATTGAAATAGCTTAGAACGACACAATTTTAGAATAAAAATCACCGATATTTTAACTTGTAAAGGCACTTTTATCAATTTTTCGCACTGTTAAATATTCAGCAACTCTTGAGCTCGTTCATAAATAATCTGTGAAGCGTTAATCCAGCCTTTTGGTTAGACTAATGAACAGACTTTCTGAAGAGCTTCAGATGAAGTTCATGGCAAAACTGGTCAGATGCACCTCCCGATTATTCGAGATCGAGGAAAATATTGCGTGATCGTCCTACGGAAATATTTGTGTTGTATTAAAAAGTACTGTTTCAAAAATAAACTTTAATACTAGTATTCATTATCGAGTAAAATACTTTGAACCATAGGAAATGTTCGTAATCTTGTAGATAAATGCCTATTGTACCTGAAGAAAACTTGGGGTGTATGCGTTTTTAACCACCTTGTATGCTAAGTCACACACAGGCATCGAATTTAAATCTAATCCCTCAAATTTACTCATTAAAGCATACTTAAGTGAGCAAATATTCCTTGCAGTTCATGATTGCGAAATGTTTTCAATTCCCCAAGGATGTTTTAAATCTAAAATAAATGCATGATGCAATGTTTGAAATCTTTAATACAAAGCATTAAAACGGAACTTGCTGAACTGAATATACATCTTTTTCAGGTGGCTTATGAAATTAATCTCAATTTAGGGAAGGATAAATTACTAGGAATGACTTAAAAAAATTTTCAGTCTTGGCCTTTTCATTCTCTCTGACACCAGAACGTTAACACTATGTGAAATCATCATTGAGAAGAATTGCACTAAATTATTTGCCATGTAAAGTATTTGCAGATGTTAAACTACGAGCACATGCAAAGAGAAATCAGTTATTTTCAGTTTACTTTTAATTCGTCTTGACTTCCCTAACAAGGAATTATACGAAATAATAGGAAAATTTAATCCTTGCTTCATGGAATAAGGAATATCTTATTCTCATCATAATCTGTCTTCACACGCACTTGTATACGAGCTGGGTACCAAACTGATTTAAAAAATCATCTAGCTATTCTTTTCGATCCATAATAGCAGTTTACAGAAAGAATAAGCCTTTGAGAAAAATTTTTGTACGAAAGTATGAAATGAAGGCTGGCCAAATAAAATACTTGCAGGGAAAGGTATCCTCGTTTTCAGTCCTGTCCACAAAGGTAAGATTTAACCTAGTGGTTATGTCTCGTAAAAACTCCTGAAAATAGTCTTTCAAATCGTGCATCTATTTCTAATGATTTAAGAATAAAAACAAGTTGATTAATAATTCACAATTACTTTCGTTTCACTCACTGTAATTAAAATATTGTCCTCCATCTGGTTCATGGACAGCATCACGATTAAAGATGGTTACTGAATTCGCTTCAAATGCGCTTGAAAAAAGTATCTGCTTCCGTAGAATTGCATCTGCAAATCTGTTTGAGCTCATCAAAGGGACTGGTCAACGACAGAACAACTTCTTTCACACATATGAAGGAGCAAATCTTGTATGGTACAATACCTGGATATATTCGGTGGCCAAGAAAGTAACGTCAAGCTTGTAGTCTGCGTGCATCTTATCTAAGGTGAGACGGTCTCAAGTCGCGACTGTTCAAATCGCATGAATTTTTATCTATCGACGGTGCTTTGCGGCACATAAACAAGATTTCAAAATCCGATGGTTATTTTGGAAACGTCCTGTAGTCTAACAACAGCCAACCTGTTGCATCAGCTTTACAATAAAGAGTTGTCAGCCTTAATATCTTCATTTTAAATAAAAATGCCTAGCAGTTTTCCAAAATTAAACTTTAAATATTTATAAACAATAGTCTATGTTTACAAAACATGCTGTATTAATCCATCACTCGCTGTGCTGCCATAGTTACCTTTAAGTTTTCTTCCAATCTGATCACTTGCGCGTAGATTTTTAAGCGACTCTAAACCTATTTCAAAACAGGAACAAAGGCTCTCATGCAGAAATAAAAATGAATTTAGTTAAAGTGCAATTAATCGCACTGCATATTTTGCCTTCGCCCATCAATTCCATTTCAAAATTAGGATCTAATTTTTGTTAATAAAATTACCGTTTTCGTATTGTATTGATTACATAGTTGAGGGATTCTCAATAGGGCGAAGAATGCTGTCAGCTTTTAACTATTCTATATTTAGTTCATGGTAATGAACTTGCATTAAAGTTCTGATATTGATCAGCATTATCTATACTTTTGTTTAATCTATTGAAAGGAGTTAAATCTCTAAATTTAAGTAAATGTATACATATTTTTCTTAAATTTTGCAGAGGAGAGTAGCAGTAATGAAAGTTATGCATGAGTCGAGAAAGGTTTAGAACCACTGGCTTAGGCTATTAATTTCGTAAATTCCTTAAGCTGATCATGCATATGAGCCTTCTTACTTGTTATAATTTTGAGGTTTCATTGGCATGCATTAAATTGTAGCAAAGAATTGCATATTTTTGTAACGATTGTTTCTTATGGTTCAGTAATTTATTGCAGTACTGAATATTTCAGAAAAGTCCACCACTCTTTGATTTGACATTGCCTGACATAGATTCTATGACACTTCTTCAAACAGATGTCTCCAAATACCGGGTAAGTAATATTTTAAAAAGTGTGTATAAATTTTTATTGGGATTTTCATCTAATTATTGAACTTAATTTTTGTTTTTCAGAAATCCATATTTCGTGATGTATAGGCTTGAACATATCAATCGTACACTGTGTTTTTAGCTAAATTATACGCAAATCGAACTTGTGCTCAGCTACGCGACTCTCCATGCCTGTTCTTAGTCATCCTATATGGAGAATTTTAACAGAAGAGAATCTATAAATTCATAGTTAACATCATTTGACACTGAGATTGCTGAAACATAATCTTGCCTACATTTTAATCCATATGTTGCATTAAGTTTCCTTGTAATGTAAAAATGATAATCATAGAATTTTTCCCAATTCCACGGGAATCAAAACTTGCTTCGCTTAAAATTGGGTTCCCCTTTTAACTTTTACAGTATATAGTGTAAAATCTTAATCTGGTTTTCACCAATCTCGGCCTTTCTCTTAACATTTCAGCAGAAATTTCTTTAAAGGAGTTCATGCTTCGGATACGTTAAAATTGCATCTTTTTACGTCCTACTACGTAGTAAAGGAATTATAATTGTTAAAAATTTCGGTTACCTATTTCAATGGAAATCTTGGTCGTTCATGAATCCACTTAGCCTGACGTCTGTACGTAAGAACAGAATAAAGTCTATTTTCCCAAAGTGGGTTTTTTGTGACATCTATGCGTATGTACCTCGCATAACTCAAAATTAACTGTAGAATGTTGGAATTTGTATATGGGACTCCTAGAACATCCAGTTGTGCACCTCCCTCTTTTAATTGCATTCGGCAGTACCAAGCGTATACCCACACCCTTAGTCGACTGAAGTCCTTACTTTGGCTTTACTTTCCTTATTTTCTCCTTCTTTGCTCGCAGTCATATGCTTTTAATTACAGGTCGGTCATAGTCGCATATTTTAATTACAAAAGTGTTTTAAATGTTTTGGCAACGTCAAACTCTAAAAATATTTAGACAAATAACTAAATATAACGTCTAATGCGGTCTCTTGGTTTCTGTATTTATATTTCGGAATTATTTATGGAAGGTTTTATAGCTATGAATAATATTAGAAGTTTGACCGGGATATTGGATTTCAAAATTCGAAATTTTTTGTCATTTTTAACTTTTTTGAGTGATTGGTAGTATTATGTTAGAATAATGTTATGTTAGACTAACTCTTGGAAATACGTTTTGCACATTTTCTTGCTGCATATCATTTAATCTAATGGACCATACAAGGAGGTCATGTGGTGTGAGCATCTATATTTTTTCTATAAATTATAGAAACATGGCAGTATTCCTACAATACTGCTTAATAGATCATTCGTAATGTTCACAACCGCTTGCCATCGAAATACATTTATCATATCTAACCAAAAGGGTACTTTAATTAAACAACTTATTAAAAGCTAACTTTCCAGTTTAAAGTCGCACAGGGTGTCCATTCGAAACTAACGATCGTTTTAATCTTAAGCTTACACTTTGCGCAAAAAAGTTCTAAACTTCCCGTTCTACTGGATCGATTGACGAAATTTAACTTTCATCTTTCATATCTCGAAAACGTGACTTAGAATGCATATCTACATTTATATATAGTATCATTCTAAAACGGGTATTTTGACGCAAAACCTGACTTTTGTAAAATGACAGCGATTATTTTCGATTTTCTGATTCTAAAGCTCAAATTATGCCTAAATATCAAATTTCCTAAAAATTTGAGAAATTTGCCGAAAATTTTTAATTTATCTTGGCGCACTTTTTCAGCTTGCGCCATGAATAACTTGCTTGGCAAAGTTACTTATGGTAACGTATTTTCTTTTCCCTTTCATTTTGCAGAGGGGGGGGAATCCATCGTTTATTCTTTGAAATAATTAGAGCAAAGAGCTCAAATTACATTTGGTGTTATTATTGCTTATAACAAATGCCAAATTTCGAAACTCGACAATTCATATAGATCTTGGGAAATTTTGAACTATAATTTTTTGGAAATTAGCTTAGTTCGTTAAAGTGATGTTAAATTTCGAGAACTAATTATAACCTATAAAATTTTTATGAAAAATTACCAAAAATAGTTTAAATAAATCTAAAGATATCTGCGAATTTTATTTGAACATAAATTTTGAAATGTAAAAGGAATCAAATTCATTACGAGATAATATATACGAAATTCAGCTAACGTTGAAAAGCTAAAATTTCTACATGAAGTGAAATGCGTAGGAAATATCTTCGATTTCTTTCAAGATAAGTATATACTGGTGTGCAAAACTTGAGCAACAGGTGTTCTTTTTGCCATAACTCTACGAGAAATCATTTCAGAGACATGAACTTCAGAAATGAGACCATTTTGTGTTTAAATGATGATGAAATCATAGTTGCGCAAGAATAAATACAGTGCATGCAGTATGGAATTGAACAAAAAAAGGCTTTACTCGATACTCGTAGTATCGTTACACATAATAATCTGTATAAGAGGAAGAACAACAAGCAGATGTTTCTTAATATGGAATTTGCCCTTCCCTTACTGGAATGGTTGCTTCGCACCGTCTCTCCATACTCAACGCCAGATTATCCAACAGATCTTGAAGTAAGTGTCCATTCCTCAATCAGCATCCGTTTCAGTTGTTGGGTGTTCCCCCGGCGGAATCGTGTTGCAAATGCGTCTCCCTAAAGCATTCCACACATGTTCTATGGGATTTAAATCGGGGAAGTACGCTGGCCAATCCATTCGAGTGATATTTTCACTTCCCAGTAACTTCTGAACAGCAGGAGTTCGGTGTGGCCGTGCATTGTCATCCATGAAAACTAAGTCTGCTCCTATGGCACCTCTGAAAAGATGCACATGGGGAAGGATCACCTCTTGAAAATAGCGTTCTCCGGTTACAGAACTTCTATCGAAAACGTGGAGCTCTGTCCAACCGTTCAGCATAATGCCTCCCCAGACGAGAACGCCAGGACCACCGTAATGCTCTCTTTGTGTGGTGTTACTGGGATGAAATCGTGTCCCCACCTCTCTCCAAATCAACTGGCGTTGAGAAACTCTTGTGGCACTAAAACGACTCATCCGTAAAGACACGACCCCACTGATATGTCCACATTTTGTGCTCCTTGCACTACTCTAAACGATGGCCCCGATGATGAACTTTCAAAGGGATGGCAGCGTTCAGGACGTCTGGCGAATAGTCCACCTTTTGTGAAAACGTCTGAACACGGTAAACAGTGTTGCTGTACACAGTTGCTGAGCTTCCGACTGGTTTCGGGCTCTTTTCGCCTTCAGGAGTATATATCGGTCATCCACTGTAGTTTTCCTGGGGTGGCCCCCATCAACCTTTCTAATAGCTGTACCTATGGTTGCAAGGCTTCCCAAGCGCGCGAATCGACACTTTCGTTGATTCCGAACTCTTCAGCTACACTGGTCGTACTACGCCCCTCCTCCGGCTTTCCTATGGTTCTTCTACGTGTGAAGTCGTTCAAGTGATGTCTTATAGCCAAATTTCACGAAAGAACTCGCTTGAACTTCCAGCGAATATCTTTAATTGCGTCTTCGTCCTTCCTTTTATTGTAGTCTTCAGATGAGCGCGGCGACGACACGCGTTTTCTGTACGATCACGTCGGCTGTGGCATTTTGTTCATGACATTTGCATGACCTTTGTACTGAATTGCGTGTTCATTGTACTGATCACAAGCGCTCCTTTTCGGCAATTTCATGGCTATCTGATTAAAATTTACTTTGTTGCTTATGTTTTGCTCACCAGTGCATTAAAATGTGCGTTTATGAACGCTTAAATGTTTATGAATTCGAGTTTATGAACGCTTAAATGTTTATGAATATATTTGTAATTTAAATAATTAAAATAGATCCTTTAAATTTATCAACAGAAGTGTATATTCGGGCATTATTTTATCTAATGCATATAAATCTTGCATATATAAAGTGAGTGGTCATTCTTTAAAATTTTGTCAATAATAGAAACATGCCGTATTATTTCGAGCATATATTACATTTTTAATTTCCACTCCGCTTATGAGTACCATGGTTCCTGTCTGATAAAATACATTCTTTTGCCAAGACGTCCTCCCATAGAAACTAACATTAGGTTTACAAATGAAATATTATTTATGCATGAAGAAAGAGACACTTTGGAAATTTCATCATTAAAGAATTTTCAAATACCTCTAATGTTTTCAAAATAAATTTTGGAAATTTGTTATTTCCGACCAACAGTTCAAATAATATTTTCTAAGATTTCAAAGGTTCAATAAAAGATTTAGTTTAGTAGAATTCAAGAGTTTAGTAGAATTCAAGAGTTTAGTAGAATTCAAGAGTTTAGTAGAATTCAAGAGTTTAGTAGAATTCAAGAGTTTAGTAGAATTCAAGAGTTTAGTAGAATTCAAGAGTTTAGTAGAATTCGTTAAGAATTCAAGAGTTTAGTAGAATTCAAGAGTTTAGTAGAGAATTCAAGAGTTTAGTAGTTCAAGTTTAGTAGAATTCAAGAGTTTAGTAGAATTCAAGAGTTTAGTAGTAGAATTCAAGAGTTTAGTTTAGAATTCAAGAGTTTAGTAGAATTCAGAGTTTAGTAGAATCAAGAGTTTAGTAGAATTCAGATTAGTTTAGTAGAATTCAAAGTTAGAGAATTCAGAGTGTAGTAGAATTCAAGAGTTTAGTAGAATTCAAGAGTTTAGTAGAATTCAGAGTTTAGTAGAAGTTTAGTAGAATTCAAGAGTTTAGTAGAATTCAAGAGTTTCAAGAGTAGAATTCAAGAGTTTAGTAGAATTCAAGAGTTTAGTAGATTCAATTCAAGAGTTTAGTTAGTAGAATTCAAGAGTAGAGTTAGTAGAATTCAAGAGTTTAGTATCAAGAGTTTAGTAGAATTCAAGATTTTAGTTTAGAATTCAAAGTAGGAATTCAAGAGTTTAGTAGAATTCAAGAGTTTAGTAGAATTCAAGAGTTTAGTAGAATTCAAGAGTTTAGTAGAATTCAAGAGTAGAATTCAAGAGTTTTAGTAGAATTCAAGTAGAATTCAAGAGTTTAGTAGAATTCAGAGTTTAGAATTCAGAGTTTAGTAGAATTCAAGAGTTTAGTAGAATTCAAGAGTTTAGAATTAGAATTCAAGAGTAGAATTCAAGAGTTTAGTAGAATTCAAGAGTTTAGTAGAATTCAAGAGTTTAGTAGAATTCAAGAGTTAGTAGAATTCAAGAGTTTAGTAGAATTCAAGAGTTTAGTAGAAGTCAAGAGAGTTTAGTAGAAGTTTCAAGTAGTTTAGTAGAATTCAAGAGTTTAGTAGAATTCAAGAGTTTAGTAGAATATTCAAGAGTTTAGTAGAATTCAAGAGTTTAGTAGAATTCAAGAGTTAGTAGAATTCAAGAGTTAGTAGAATTCAAGAGTTTAGTAGAATTCAAGAGTTTAGTAAGAGTTTAGTAGAATTCAAGAGTTTAGTAGAATTCAAGAGTTTAGTAGAATTCAAGAGTTTAGTAGAATTCAAGAGTTTAGTAGAATTCAAGAGTTTAGTAGAATTCAAGAGTTTAGTAGAATTCAAGAGTTTAGTAGAATTCAAGAGTTTAGTAGAATTCAAGAGTTTAGTAGAATTCAAGAGTTTAGAATTCAAGAGAGAAGTAGAATTCAGTTTAGTAGAATTCAAGAGTTTAGTAGAATTCAAGAGTTTAGTAGAATTCAAGAGTTTTTAGTAGAATTCAAAGTTTAGTCGAATTCAAGAGTTTAGTAGAATTCAAGAGTTTAGTAGAATTAGTTTTAGAATTAGAATTCAAAGAGTTAGTAGAGTTTAAGAGTTAGTAGAATTCAAGAGTTTAGTATAATCAAAGAGTAGAATTCAAGAGTTTTAGTAGATTCAAGAGTTTAGTAGAATTCAAGAGTTAGAAGTAGTAGAATTCAGAGTTAGTAGATTCAGTTTAGTAGAATTCAAGAGTAGAATTCAAGAGTTTAGTAGAATTCAAGAGTTTAGTAGAATTCAGAGTTTAGTAGAATTCAAGAGTTAGTAGAATTCAAGAGTTTAGTAGAATTCTAGAATTCAAGAGTTTAGTAGAATTCAAGAGTTTAGTAGAATTCAAGAGTTTAGTAGAATCAAGAGTTAGTATTCAAGAGTTTAGTAGATTCAAGAGTTAGTAGAATTCAAGAGTTAGTAGAATTCAAGAGTTTAGTAGAATTCAAGAGTTTAGTAGAATTCAAGAGTTTAGTAGAATTCAAGAGTTTAGTAGAATTCAAGAGTTTAGTAGAATTCAAGAGTTTAGTAGAATTCAAGAGTTTAGTAGAATTCAAGAAGTAGAATTTAGTTAGTAGAATTCAAGAGTTTAGTAGAATTCAAGAGTTTAGTAGAATTCAAGAGTTTAGTAGAATTCAAGAGAATTCAAGAGTTTAGTAGAATTCAAGAGTTTAGTAGAATTCAAGAGTTTAGTAGAATTCAAGAGTTTAGTAGAATTCAAGAGTTTAGTAGAATTCAAGAGTTTAGTAGAATTCAAGAGTTTAGTAGAATTCAAGAGTTTAGTCAAGAGTTAGAATTCAAGAGTTTAGTAGAATTCAAGAGTTTGTTAAAAATAAATGCTAGTTTATTCTGCTCTTTGGAGTTGAAACTATATCACTCTACCGCTCTGATTTCATTTAGAAATCTGTAGCAGATTTCTGCAGTTATTCCGAAATTAGAACAGTACCAATTGCCTTTGCATAATGTCCGATTCGCGATGATTATAAGACACTGCTAAGATCAGATTTGATAAGCTTGAGCGTGAGTGGTATAGCATGTTCAACATGTCTGAGTAAAAACGATGCTAAATAGGAAATAAAAGGGTGTAATAAGTGTTGAGAAATTGAATATGACTTTTACCTTATTCATAATCATCTCTAGTATCAATCCGATTTTGACTGTATGCATCTTCAGAGTCGGATAAATGCACAAATGGGGATAAATTTATTTTTCATTTTCTAGGAATGGTATACACTTGATCAAACTCTAAATTATCTGCTGGTTTTACAGACCTATCTTACTTCGGGTGAGTATGATTTAAGTAGTTCTCTTGACTTATTTGAGGTAATCTATTCTTAATGGTATGATTAAATACTCAAAGTGAAATCTTAAGTGCAGATGTTCGTAACCAGAGCAAACTGAAATTTAATTTCTGCTTCCAAAAACTCAACGTTGCTCCTTGTTGGTATCTGGAGTTTGGTAATCTTGTTAACTATCATGAACTGGAATCAAATTTTAGATAACGTCACCAAAATATCTCCAAGTCTAACGGCGGAGCCTTAAGAAGGGTGCAAAAGAACCTTTATTAAAACTAAAACACGGAAGGCACATCTGGTGCTTGCAACTCAACCAGCTCTTATGGCGAGATAACAGTAGGTTCAAATTTAAAATTTAAATAAGCAAAAGGCTACACGGATAAATTTAATGCGAAATTGGCTCACAGACTAACTGCCTTAGACATTCATTTATCAGCATTTAAAATGCTAGGCCAAAGACTACAAATCTCAGCTAGCATGGACTTAACGTGGCAGAGAGACGGAACATTCAGCCTTGCAGTCTAAAAAGTCTTAAACATACACGAACTAATTTTCATTCTATTATGTAAAATAAGGAAATGACGGTAAAGGTTAAATTTTTAACTGGTTAATTATAATGATAAAAACCATACTAGTTAAACTGCAGTTAAAAACCTAAGTTTATTTCCACTTTTATGGCAAAGCAAATTTTTAGTACTGATTGGTTATGATTAAATAAACGTACTCGGACGTATCTGGGATCCATTCTACTTGACGTACGTCATTGAAACTTGGTATATACGTTGGATGGGACCACGGAAAAAAAACTGAATTAGAAAAGAATTATAGTTCAAATAAAAAATAGCTTAAGAATAACGGACAATCTGCAAACAACTTTTTACTCGCAGCGTTCCGTTCGCGCTAATCGTGTGTACAGAACATATTATAGCACATTAAAAAAGGGTATTCTTGTAAACTATAGCAAAATGACAGGTTATGCTTGCTTTCAATTAGGTCGTAATCTATGGTTCCTCCACATTACTTCTCGGGAATCCCCATAAACAGATATGATAGGATTAAGTAGAGAATGAGGAGGCCTGGTATGTGGAAAAATATTTAGAGTTGTCCTATAATCTATAAAACAGTTAGTACACTTGTCGCCCAATAGGGTTGTTCGCCTCTTTTATGAAGACTAGTCCCTAATCATTCTCGTCATCAGGTTGGAATAATTTGTTGCTTCAGCAGCTCTTAGTAATTAGCAATTTTGACTAACTTTTGAGAACCTTGAGGAGTACTCTTTTCAAAAAAAGAGCCAAGAATGAAATTAGCGTATAATCACATGCAGTAAAATAATCTGATTGCAGACACTGTTCCCTCACAACACTGGGATTTTCAGTATCCCATGTGTCAGTTCTGAGTATTCACTGCTCCACCTAATGCAAAATGCACTTTTAACCAGAAAGTACTCAAAGGTCGTACATTGGCAATAGCTATTGTCAAAAACTGCCAAGCAAACTCGATGCATTAGTCTTGAAAGTGCAGCATTTGCACCATGTCTGTCTTAAACAGATACCACTTTAAAATGAAAATCAGAAGTTTACCTACTTATAGACCAAGAAATGGACAAATCGCTGGACAACACTCGAGCAATCGTCGAAAATCGAACAGCACGGTCGACCGCAACAGCAATGATTTCTTCCACAACTTCATTTGAAACGTTTTCCTTCTTCCTCGCAGAACAGCTAACAGTCCACCGACGTCAAATTTAATATTTTTCAGTTCTTCGACATGAGCGTTTTTTGCAAGCCTTTTAAGCTTTCGTGATCTCACAGTTTAACCAAACTATTCCAGCAGTTCTGATAAAAACTTGATCACAAAAGTTTTAACAATTCCTGTAGTTTTGAATTTAAAAACAAACTTTACCAGAAAAACTCTCTCGTTAATAATTTCATATAACGTACAACTAAGTTTTAACGTAATATCGCTAACTAGAGCGGGCTCTACATGGGTCTGTGTAGGGATCACTCTAATTTCATTCCAAGTACAACTACCGCAAATGTAGCTTGGAAAACCTCCGCAGATTGCCTTTGTCATTTAGCAAATTTCTTCTTTAATCGCTAGTCTATGAAAGTAATCAATAACAGTTGAAGTTTTACACAGAGCAAAATATGAAGTATTCTGTTCGTAATGAAAAACTTGAACAAGATTTCCTCGATCGCTTTATAAATTTAAGTTTCTTACCAATATTAACTTCAATTTTTAAAGCTTCTAGAATTGTTCATTTCGAATTTTGTTAAGTAATACAAAAATTGAAAGTTCGGGTGTTTTTATTTAGGCAACATGCATTTCAATAAAGCTAATCTGACATAGCATCAATAAATTACTTACTTCATATTTAACTTTTTCAGACCTCCTTTCAGTAAAAGGGATTCTTTTGCACTGTATTGCTGGTCAGGATCGTACCCCACTTTTCGTAACACTTTTACGTTTGTCGCTTTGGGCCGATGGTTTATTGCATGCGACTTTAAACCCTTTGGAGATGCTCTACTTGACAGTAGCTTACGATTGGTATCTGTTCGGGTGAGTACCGTAATTTGTTTCTTAAAGCATAGTTTCCTTCATAAGTACTACAGCATTCCATGTAGTTTGTATTACGTCCTGCTTTTTAATTTTCTTGTTCGATATAAATTATATTTTCAGGCACAATTTGAAGGATTGTCTAAACCGAGGCTATTGGGTAACTATGAATTTTATTTGCAAGAATTTCTTTATTATGAAACTAATTTATTTATTATGAAACTAATTTATTTGTCAGAACACCATGATTTTCCCAATAGAGTTCAATTTTTAATTTTGTAGGGAAAATCTACACTGCAAAAATTCATCTTAATCTTATACTTTTCATTGCATGGATTTATACCAATGTATGATCTTTCTAACTGCATTCAGTCCTTAACATTTCCTTTCTACTGAACCGTTCAATAAATCTCCATAGCACTTAGCCTGAATAGATTTTTTGTAATGGTGATTCCAATTCAGCATCATTCTTGATGCAGTAATTCAAATATTAAACTGATGTCTGTTAATCTTTTCTTAATGCAGAGCTGGCATCATAGTTAGCTAGTAGGGAGTTAATACACGAGTGTGCACTTTGCCGTAGATCGAGTATAATTGGAATATATACTCGATCTACGGCAAAGCTGTTTTGTGGCTACTCTGCCGCTGCTATTCAGTAATACATTTAATTTCTTTAAATAAAATGACTGCTAAACATTTAAATTCTTCATAATTGCAATGCTTTGTCTCTAGTAAAATATCAGATAATTAATAAATCATAATTTTCACATCTGCTGTATGATTAGAAATTTTATAGTATATTACAAGTGAATTATTCGATCACCAAATTAAAATATAATTACGAATATCTTTACTATGTTCAGTTAAATATTAATTTACTTCCCTTCACTATTACTAAAATTACTAAAGAGAGTCGCTCTGGATAGTAATGAAGGTATTAATTGAGCACAACGTGTTATAATAGAATTTAATGCTACCAAAGTTAATGATAGAATCTTAAATAATATCGTGGAATTGCTTTAGACACTTATTGCAGCTGCATATTTCTAATTCCATAAAATGACGTAGGAATTCCGTATATGATCAGATCACTCATAAATGGGTATTATGCCATCGAAGCTATCTTTTTAGTATTTGAAAAAGTATTTTTTATGCCCTGTCCAGAATAGTAATAAACTGGAAATAGCTTGTCAAACTACTTTAAAACTGAGCACTGTGCTGAAGCATGTGTCAAACCTTTCTGCTAAACCTAGCGGAAACTTTTCGAAATGTAATAATTTCTTTAGACTGCAATCACAGGTGCCTTAATACATTGTATTCTCGATTATTCGGTTTGCGGATTATTTTGAATAACTGTACCAACGCATTCGCACGCAGCGCTCTGTGCGAGTGTGTATAAAAAGAACAAACGCGCAAATCCGAGCAGGCTTTCAAAACCGCAGAACTGTCCTTAATTTCAACGATTAACTCGTAAAATTATCTCTGCATCGTCAAAGGCGTTCTTTCTAATATAGCTTTCTATCTAATTGGGCAGAAGTCGAGGCAAAATCTGAACTTGTATGCCAAAAAAATCTTAAATATAAAATTCTTTCGGAAACGTTGATCCGGAGAACAACTATGAATGTTTCGATGGTGATTCGACTGAGCCGGGCTTTCAGTGTTTGAGTGGAGAGGATATCTTATCCAATGTCACGAGAACAGAAAAAGCAGAGTGCCAAAATACGAAAGAAATAACATTACAATAACATTAGTCCCAAATCGGCAATGGAAGTCTTCGATCAAAGGGGATTTGAATAAAATAGCATTTCGAAAAATATGCAGTGATGTTCGACAGTTATTTACAAGTTCTCAAAAACCAAGTAAAACTACTTGTTTTTTAGGAAATAAACTCTTGATTGTTTGGATTATTAGTTTTTTAGTCACCTGTGACATACTTTTCTGATATTAGCGCAGATAATCATGAGTGCATTGTACTCATCTTTATATTGGAATACTTCAGTTACTGATTTGTTATGAATTACATTTTAAGGCTAGAAAACTTTCTTTTTCCTATGTAAAAGACTTAAAAGAAAGAATACTGAATGTTTTATTGATATATAAAATCTTCCTTTACTCATAACTTAAATATTTTTCAGATAATGCATTTCTGCTATAACATCCTCGATCATATTACATCCGACAGATTTTCAGTGAGGTAAGTACTTTAGAAACTAGTAAATCAAGATATTCCGAATGTTTCGCTATACTATTAACAACTGTAATATATCTACTGCTCCCTCTAATGTTAAATTAAAAACGCGAGGAGTTAATTTGAAGTCCGTAACATTATAACATATTCACTGTTCTGTTACTTGGGTTATGAAAATTTGTGATGGGGATGTTTTAGATAGGGTCATAGAAGAGTCCTGTATAGTGTAACAAGTATTTATTAACAGGTTTTAAATTGCACACGGACATTACATTTAACTTTAAGAATATTACAGAGCAAGTGTCTGATACGTCCTATCTAGTGGTACGCTTGGCTTTTACTGAAGTACTTCTCTGGCTACTCACCAGACGGCAGCCTTGTCACAGTTAGTCCAACAGTTTATGTTAAGGGATTGGTTACAAATTTAAATTTTTCATGCGCTATTGGGCAACAGCAAATTTTTCAAAGGTAAGAAATTTGATATTCTCGAATGTAATATTTAATTGCATTCTGACATTCGTTTTACATATTCTAAATATTTATTCTTTGTGAACAAGTAGTTGTCTTATTTGTCGTGAGTTAAGGATGCTTGCGGAAAGCCGTTTTTTAAGGATCTGAACAAAACTATCTTTACGATTTTATCGTAGTCTGTTAACGGAGTTTTTCTTTCTCTAAATTAACCTAATTTGACATAGTAAATACTTTTAAGCGAGCTCTTGATACTTAAGTCTATTTTAGAGTTTAACACATTGACCATGAATATATGCCTTGTTTGCCGCTGTTAGAAGCCAATTTCTCGTGTTTTTAAAGACTGCATCTGTTCCAAAACAAGCCTCTTTCAGGTTCCATCGTAGTCGATTAACGAAGTTATTCAATTGTTTGCTACAAGAGATGGTAATTTGCGTCGTTTGACAATTCATGCAATCATTTGCGAAAGTTTAATGTTTGAGGTTCTGAAATAAAATAACAATTCTTATGACATTTATGCTTTCTACTCTTTTTGACAAGCTCTTTACGGCTAACCACCTGAATGATTTTCCGGTAATATACGAAAACGTATTTCGGGGAAAACTGTTGTCAGTTTAAAACAAACGCAAAGATGAAATAACGCATATTCACTGCAGACACTGTGTATTTGTTTTGTCTTTTCATCAAGGAAACGATTAAGCATACCAAAAAAATTACAAAAATGGGTCTTTTTAATCAGTTTTCATAAAATACTGTAATTTTGATTTTATAACTACTTAAAAATATAGGAATTAAGACAAACCCTTTTTACAGTATACCGTCCATCAATGTGTTAACATCAAAAAAGAGTAAGCATCCAAATTAATCTAAGATTGTATTAATAGGATTTTAAAAATCAAATAATTTGCAGGTTATAAATCAATTCGTATTAAGAAAGTCGGTGGATTAATCTCGTAAATCGATTTAAGACTTAGATCGATATGTTATACCGTTATCGAACCCCTTTTTGAAAATTGCTGGATACATTTTGACCATCACGGATATCAAAATTAATTCATATATTAGAATTTTAAAGTGTTCTAAATTTAAGTTTGTTATTCGAAAGATTAATAGGCAGAGATCACTAGTGAAGTTTAGTTTAAATACTCAGTTTCGGGTGTAAATTTTAACTAACTTAAAAGACAGGAAATCTGTTGCACTAATTGAACTGTAAAGTTTGAATTTGATATTGGTTTCAAATAACACTCTCCGCCCTTACCAATAGGCGAAATGATAAGATTACTAAACACTATTCAACCAGTTTTGATTCTTACCAAATCGCATTGTTAGTGCATGCGTTTTATATGATTATTTATTGTGTAACCTGAATTGTAACCAAATATCATGGAACTGTTCTCCACGAAGGCGTTCCTTCAAAATTAATGTGCTTTTCCAAAATCGTAAGGTTTTTACAAAGATAACTTACGAACTTAAGTTTAAAAATCTTTTCTTGTATACCAGCAGGCGACAACTTTTTGCTTTCAAAGGGTACCATCAGTGGCAGAAGTTGGGTATCTTTTTTTCGAAACCAGGCGAACTGAGTGGCTACGATTAATTTTCGTGAGCTACCCTGCGTATAACGTAAATACAAATTAGTTTCACTTTAGAAAATTTTTCACGAAATTATCCCTCTTAAGCAGAGAGCCTTCGTCTGCTTTGCCGTATCTTAATGAACAAGCAGGATAAAGCCGAGTGTGGTAAAATTTCCTAACATAATGTATGTATTTCAAATTTTCATAAAGGAAGTAGAATAACACACTAAACTGTTGTTAACAATACTAGTTTGAATATACGAACGTAGCTGTCGTAGAGAACACGATATTGAAGTGGCATTTAGGCAACATTGCACATCTTGCTATAGGAAACGGTTTCGAGCGTGGTGGTGGTCAAGATTCATCTGCCTTAGATTATAAAAATTATCTGACATTTGTGGACTTTTTTAGTTTTTATTTTTTGTGTAAGGAAAGGAAAAGGGCAAAACAAAGTAATTCTAAAATTTGATGCGTCGATCATTGCACATGAAACGCCCAGACTTAAAAGTAAACATTTCGCGTTAATATTGAAAACGTAACACTAGATTTACAAAACAAACTTTTTGTTAATATTGAACTTGCGCAAAATCTTCGATTTAAGTCAATTTCTGAATAAAGAGTTGATATGTACTAGCATGGAAACAATGGGGCACTAATAGATAAGTCCCAAGTGTAAAATCAAGCTTCGAAATTAAAAGGTAAACACTTATTTACGACTGTTATGTTTAACAAAAGAAAATAGTTCAAAAATGGTTAGAGATCAAAACGTCAAACCTTAAAACGGAATTGCAGATCAGTTGTCATCGTTTCTACTACCAGATTCCTTCACTCATCTAAGGCTCAGAAATAAATTTCTGACAACTAGTATAACTGTACTTTTCAACTGCTCGTTATTGAGACTAGTTTATATTTTAGGGGTTCCGAAGTGGAAACTGCAAGTTCAAGATGCATTCTTCCGTGTTTTCGACCCAAAACTGACCGCAAAAAAAGGCTTCTTGAAGTAAAGAGGCTCTTCCTGAAGTTTTATGCTCAGATCGAAAGGAGACCTGTTCAGCAACCATCCACAAGTACAGGCCGAAGGTGATATGGAGATTTAGTGACTAACCACTGCTGATATTGAAATCGGACTTCTCGAATTAAACGGAGGTTTTGAATACTTTCACATTAATGACGTATTTTAATAACCATTGTATCTTACATTTTATTGTAGCCGACTTTGTAAATTTTGTTTACTTAAATTCCTATGTAATTTTTAACTAAATAAAATGCTGAGATCCACTTTATGTGTATTCATTAGCTTGGGCAAAGGGTCTTATTTCATTGCTAGATCACATGTGAGGAAGCTATTCTTTTTCGCAAACATATCTTCCCAAAGCCTGTTTTTAAGTAAAATATAAAAAATTTAAAGTTTTTAATCTGGTTTTATTTATCTTTCTTTGCACTAAATGCAATGTCCGTCAAAACTCGTTATTTTAAAGTATAGAAAGAGCGATTTTGAATGCTTTTTCTTAAAATGTGCGTTAATACGTTCGATCTGATGTAAAAATCTAAAACATCAGATACCAGATTTATATTGGACACAAGCAGCCTAAAATTATCCTAAAAATTTATTTTTAAGGAGTAGGTATTTTTATGAAAATGCACTATTTCCAACTGGGAATCTCCTTATTTAAATGCATTTTTATTTAACTGTCCGATTAGAAAGTAGAAAAATTTTTAAGAAATGCGTTTATTGCTTTTGATCACTTGGTCTGCTACTAAGTAACAGAAAGATTTAAATTTAAAGTTAAATATTTTTTCTTTACTGAAGGGCAACGCGCTGGCACTTGGAAAATAAGTTTCATTTCTGGCAGCGTCAACAAGCTATTTTTAAATAGCTAATAAAAGTCTAGACTAACATTTTACATAACACTCGTTTCACTGGAACACAACGTTCTTGACACAAGAGAAGTGAACTTTTGGGGCAGTACGATAAAAAAAAAGCAATCTGCAATGAAATTACACAGAAAAATAACTAGATGTGAAAGGTTTTTACGGCCAGAAGATATTCAGTCACACCTGTGTCTCAGATACCGTATTACCACAGAAAATCACCGATGTTTGTTCTAAAATTTAGTATGATTTTTGAACTCTATGTTTTAATAAACTAGAAACTATTTGGAAACTCGAATAAACTAGAAACTATTTGAAACTGTTACATTACTAGGGATTAATTTATCGGTCATGAATTGCATTAAGCTTTGGCAAAAGCATTGTTGCGTGCGTACGGGTTCATAATAGATAGAATGCACAATTCGATAAAAAGTTTAAAAAATATATTCTTATCCCAAGAAATAAAACAAAATGCTGAAATTTCCTCAGATATTAGTAAAATATCTCACTGTAGTTATATTTTTAAACTCCTAAAACATTAAATAGAACACACAAGGGCAGAGAAAGCTAATCCGATCGCACCGCGAATACTGTATGGTCAATAAGAACCAAGTAAACAACTGAACTACGATTTATTTCTGGCTTTATAAGCTTTTTAATCATGCACGTGAACATTCTAGTATTCTCGAGATTTCTGGAAAGCAAGAGTACAATTAAGAGGTAACTATTTATTACATGTTAAATGCTCGTGCTTCTGTATTTTTACTTTTTCGGCGCAGCTTTCTCTTGAAACTAGTCACGAGCTGCATTGCACGGGGGAATAAAACAAGTTTAATTACCAAAAATGGCTAACTATCCATAACACTAACCTTGGGCTAACTTCCCAAGGACTGCATGTCCCGGGCAGTACAATCCCTGGACAGGAAGCCAAACTTAAACTAAGGCATAAATGCAATAACAAACATTACAATAACAACGTAAATAATGACTACAATAAATAACTTGAAACAAATCAAATACAGAGTTAGAAAAAAAGGATCGTGGTCTCATACTATTTACATAATATACACTACGCGCTATGGGCATATTAACAAGCTAACCTGTCGTAATGAACCACTTTGGGCTTAGAGTTCGAGGACTTCGTCGTTTAGCCTGTTTAGGACTGTACGGGCCATCCCAAGATCGCTGTAGTTTCGGACATAGCCCTTTCCTTCAAGTCTGATTCCACAACCACACCTCGTCTCCTTCGTTAAAACGATGTCCACCAGTTCTGGTGTCGTACCTTCTCCGTCGCTAAGTTGACTCGCTCTCGTGCAAAGTTGTGCATCAAACCGGGAATTAAGATCTTGAATTTATTCCTCAGGCGATTAAGGCGCATCTGGAGGGCGACCAAATAAAAGATCACAAGGCAGACTATGGTCACGACCGAAGAGCATTTGGAATGGAGAATAGCCGGTATTCTCGTGTTTCTCTTCGACCCTGGTATGATTTCGTTAGGTTTCTGAGCAGGGGTTTTCTATATAGGGCGTCGGCGTTTCCAGGTGAGGATCCCTTCTGATAGATTGTCATGTTCTCAGATGCTGAAAGCAGTTCGTTGTTTTTGAAGTCCAAGGAAAAATGGTATTTCCTTAGTCCAATCCGCGTATGTAAGGATCTGTAATATCTGCCATATATGCTGTGGCTGTGTGATGGTAGGCGGCACTTCCAAGCTTGATGCTCACGTTTAACTGTTCATCTATGTCGATTTCATCACCAGACGCAGTCTGGAGGACAACACAGGATGGCGTCCAAAGGAGTTTATTTTTAAATTTTGAGCTAAATCTTTCCGAATGATAGTAACATTAGCTTCTGTGTCTATGATCATATTGCAAGGAACTCCCTCGATATGATCATTGCCACTCGCTGCAGAAATCTTGAGCGCTTTAAAACGGGGTTTTCCACTGTCCTTCAAACTCCGCTCCGCGATATGATCAGTTTTTCCCTATGGTTGTTACTGGGAAATGGTCTTATTTTCCGTGCGCTGGGGTGTTCTGCAGTTGCTTCTTACGTGGCCTTCAGCTCCAGCACTTCAGTTTCATATCACTCCTTTTCCGTCTCATGGCATTTGTCTGTTTAAATCGTTTGTCTTATTTTCTGTGCTCTGGGATGTTCTGCAGTTCCAGCACTTTAGCATGGAATTCTTTTCATTCCTATTCAATCTCGAGGCACTGCCTGGTCTTTTCAAATAGTCTGTTTTATTTTCTGTGCCCTGGGGTGCTCTGCAATGCCGTCGTATGTGGCCTTCAGTACCACATTTCCAACACTTTAGAGCCAGTTTGTTCTCATTCGTACTCCGTATCAAAGCAGTGACTTGTCTGGATAAATCATCTGAACGAGCCATCAACTGATCCTCTGGCTCGTGCACTCGGGACAGATCTGACTGGGTAGCTTTCTCTAAGAGATGCTTGCTGGACTTCCTCGAATTTCATGGCGTACACCAGAGCACTTTTGTAGCCCTTCACATCCGCCGTTCTTGAAGCTTTCTGTACTTCGGGATCCTGGATGCCATCGATAAAGTACTGCAGGGACAGGATTTCCCTTATTTTTCTCGGGCACTCCCTAAAGGCGAGCGGAGACAGCCTTTCAGCATCCTTGGCGAGCTTCTGGAGTGTTTCGATGGCCTTCTGTTCATGGGATTTTAATTGTACCCTACTGTAGTCTTTCAAACATTTCTCCCCAAAGCGCAGCTCCAATGCGCCGGATAGAGCTTCGAAATCTAGCCTTTGGTTTTCTGGAAGAAGTTGAAGGATGTCTACTCTCGGAGAAGAGATGAGATGACGGGTTTAGCTTGAGAATCCCATTCATTCGCATCCGCCATTACAGAAATTCGTCTTGTACACTTGCCAGGAGGTCTTCCCGTCATATGTGGATAGCTTCAGAGAGGGACGAGCAGGTATGGGTAGAAATTTTAAACCTTCATAATTGCTCCCTGCCGTAGCTACGAATTTCTTTAAATAATGAACTTCTTTGGCAACTGCAGAAACCCGTGTCATCAATTTGTTGTTCAGTATGTCCTTGGACGGCAGAAACTTTTTTGTCAATTTGTTGTTAGATTCGCTGTTGGACGGCCGGAACTCTTCTTTCGATTCGTTGCTCCACAGCAGAAACTCTTTCCTATTTGTTCTTATACCGAAAAAACTCTTTCTTGAACTTCTTCAACTTTACTTTCAACAGCGTCAATTCTGCCTTCCATAGCCTTAAATTTGTTTCCTATTATACAGGTAATCTTTTATTTCTTCTTAATCTACTTTCATTTCTACTTTAACAGCTTTCGTCTCTGTTTTAGCAGATTTCTGAACTTTCTTATCCTCTTTAAAAGTTATTTGACCAGCTTCCATCTCTACTTTAGCGGATTCTTGCCCCGCTTCACCTTTGCTTGAACAGCTGCATTCCCTCTTTAATAGATTCTTTGCAAGCTTTCATCGTTTATTTGAATGCAGCAAAGGCTACCAGTAATTGCATTAATTGCTCTTCCATCCCTCTTGTTACTGGCATTCAAACCTCGCTCTTGACACAAAAAAGTGTTGCGTGCGAACGGGTTCGTAATAAATTGCATTCACAAGTGTGTGGAAAAGTGAACAAAATCTATTCTTATTCCAAGAAATAAAACAAAATGCTTAAATTTCTCACATCAGTTGTATTTTAAACCACTAAAACCTTAAATAGAACACAATTCAAAGTGCAGAGAAAGCTAATCCGATCGCATCGCGAATTCGTTACAATCACAAGAACTAAGTAAACGACTGAACCGAGTTGTTTTTCTCAGACTTTTATAAGCTTTTTAATCATGCACGAGAACATTCTGGTATTTTCTCGAGGTTTCTGAAAAGCAAGAGTACAATTACGAGATATCTATTTATTAAATATTAAATGCTCCTGTATTTTTACTTTTTTTGGCGTAGCTTTCTCTTAAAACTCATCACGCGCTGCATTACACGGGGCATAAAACAATTTTGACTACAATTCTACCAAAAATAGCTAATTAAATACAAAATCCGTAATAATTTACCAAAATAACGTTCTTTCGCAAAATCTCTATTTTTTAGTTCATTATATCTTACGTTAATTTTGTTTTACGTTTCGAAAATCGGCAAATAATCCTCATATGAAAATCCGAAATTTTCTTGCAATTCAACAGTTAAATATTTTATCATGTTGTATAAAAATGAAATTTTTTTTCTTAAGCTAGTTGATCTGTGCATATCCCTTAATGTTTGTTCCGGGTTGCTGGTCTGCCTCTTTTCTGATAAATGGTTTCCAAACGTAGCTTTATCCTACAGTTTGCTATTAATGAAAACACCTTTAGTGATCAAATCGAGTTGCTCGAGTTGCTTTTTTATTACTGCTTCTTTTCTGCCTTAGGCTGT